CTAAAAATGTAAGTATCATATTATAAAAATTAGACCCCTTTCTTAGTTTTATGTCAAAACTATAATAATAATAAATGTGTAAAATCCCTTTAAAAATATATTTCTTTGTTTTTAATCCATACATTTTATAACAAAAAGTTAGATAAAATTTTCCAATTTATAAAATAAAACTGATATTTAATGCTTAAAAATATATTTTTTTTCATTCACACAACAGTTATTTTTGTTAGAATTGATTTATTGTTAATCATTTCTGAAAACAAATAAATATATTAAGCATTTTTACACAATTTAAGAACATTTAATCTAGACAAAAAAAATAATAATAATAATTTGTAGAAAGTAAAAAATTAGTAGAAGAGTAACGAAAAAGTGTCGAGAAACAGAAGGGAAAAAGAGAAGCATCGTCAGAAGTGATCAGCAAATCTGGGCCTAACTGTATGAGTCATCGTTTTGCGTCCTTCGGCTTTCTTCCATCTAGGAGGTATTGGTTCACCCATCCATGGCAACAGTTTTTCCTGCGGGGGATGGTGTTTACCAATAGGATAATGCACCATGTCACAAGGGCCGAATCGTCATGGATTGGTTCGAGGAACATTCCAGTGACTTTCTAGTTCTTGCCCCCCTCCCCCAAATTCACCTGACCTTAATCCAATCGAGCATTTGTGGTCCTACTTGGAAAACCAAATTCGGGCTGCCACGCTACCCCCTCGCAATGTGAGAGAATTGCAGGACCAGCTGATGAGAGCTTGGTACCAGATACCTCAGACTACCTATCAGCATCTTGTGGAATAAATGCCACGGCGGGTGCTAACAGTTTTGAGGGCTAAAGGTAGTCCTACATGTCATTAGCAGGGTGGTCATAATGTAATGGCTCTTCGGTGTATAAGCCTTTAGATTATAATATAAAATTATTTCGAAATGTGTTTTGCAAATCTGCTAAGTTTTTATTTACCTGTGCTGAAATCTAACTACTGGATCAGCCCATATATCGCTGATGTCGACTGTTTTTCCCTTTTCAATAACATCCTTTTGTTTTTTTGCCATCAACCATCCCATATGGGCAAAGAAAAATCCTCGATTCACGTTGTGTGGGTCAGCATTAGTCTCTGCAAATTTATGATGAACTCTGTGGTCTCTTGACCATTCGTAAATGTCGTTCTGAAATAAGAGAAAACATAATTTTTAATAAACACAGTTATAAATGGCAATTAATTGCTCTTACTCATACGGTATTTTCCTTTTTATAGTAATTCATTAAAATCATACTAATTTGTTATGCCTGTAATCTAATCAGAAAGAATAGGAGTTACAGATATCATAATCCAAATAGAATCTCGGTGCTGCCATCTAGTGTGGCAGAAACTAGACGTCCAAATTAACATTTCCAACGGTATCTCACCCATTGTGGTGGTCCTGAAAGAGTGGATACCACCTCTGGAGAACGCACTAGGTCTGCTCATCGACAAGACCGATTTTGCAGCTCATTGGAAATAAAAAAAAGATATATTCAATTTATCTTGCAGAAATGGACATCTTGACAGTTGAAATATTTTTTCCATTATTCATATTATTAGTTGTTAAATTGAGTAATGCTAGACTTGAAGTCAGTAAAAAAAAAGATATCAAAATACCTAATGATCTTATTCCTTTGATAGGTTAGTTATCTTGGTACACTTGGAAAATTATAACAACTCACAGATTTAAAAAGAAGTTATTAGTTCTGTGTACCCGTAGTCAGTAAAGTGCCAGTAATCAGTTCTGTTTTAAATTAAAATATTTTATAAACTGCATGTAGTTGAGAAAAAGTAATGTTGATGAATGAATTGAATACTACCAGTAATAACCTTGTTTTTGAAAACAGTACAGTTTTCTCTGTGTAATTCGTCTCATTTTTTTTTTTAAATTTTAAAGTAACTTGTGTACTAATAAACAAAATTAACTAACGTCAATAATAAGGTCTCTTTGCTCGTAACATCAGATCTAAGACCAGGGTATATGCGTAGAGTTAGTTTAGATAAAGGAACATTAACAACTACAAAATGAACTCTAAATCACCTTTGAAACCAAGTGCATGCGAAGATTAACGCGGTATTAATCAACGTTATGTTCGCAATGTGAGTGTTTTACATTATGTTACAATTAAAGAGTCTGGGATAGCCTGGTCGGTAGGGTGCTGGGCCCTGTCCCAGAGTTTGTGGGTTCGAACCCCGCCGGCCGAGTGTAGTTGGTGACTGATGCACGTTAAAATTCTGTCGAGTCGCAAAGTCCTCCATGTTCCCATAACAAATCAAAACCTCTGAGGGTACTGGATTGGAGATCGATCGTTCTCTGATTCAGGTCAAAATTACGATCTATGGATTAATGAATGGATGTATGAATGGGTCCGCCTTATAAACAGGTGTGACGTATGATGTGGCAGAAGTCGAATTCTTGACCATAGATGGCGCCACTGGAAAACAAGAATCGCACACTCTGCCTTAATTTGCTTGGTTTCACCAAGCAGGCTTGTCCGTGTGGCAAGTGGCATTAGAACCAACCAACCAACAGAATTGAAACACTGCTAGATTTTGTTTTCCTACAAATACGTATTATCTTAAGTTTTAAAAAAAATGAAACCATTAAATTGCACTGTACAACCTTAAAACTGTATCACGATCCCAATTCCCTTACTGTTCCCTTTAGATCTAAATAACTGTGGAAATGTGAAAAATCATTGTTTGGAAGTGAGCCGTGTTAGGATTTTAACGCAAAAAACAAAACAAAAAACACTGGTTTTCTTCTGCTGTATGAAAATGCTAAACACAATATTTTTTCCACTCATTTTCATCAAAATTGATACAAAATAATGAAAAAACTATCCAAAATAAGTTTAATAAAAATTCTGCTTCAAAGGGTAAAGCAATTACAAAAACGAATTCAAAAAAAATCTTAAAGCAAACAAATCTCATTTATCTGTACTACTGTAATTACAAATTTATCTGTATGAAGTTGCTCTTTGCAACATTTTCTTGCTTAACATTTTTGAGAAAAAATGCATAGAAGTTTCAAAAGTTTTCTAATACTGTTTCTTTTAACTTTATTTTTTTGTCATTTTTTACCTTTTTTTTTGGACGTTATAGTGCTGTCAAATAACATTCTACCATCAAGAAGTTTTTTAAAAACAAATAAACAACGAAAAAATTGAAACATACATTTTAATCAAAAATTCAAGATGGTGAGGGAAAAAGCCGTGTTAGTCTTAAAGAGAAGAGAAACACCACAATTAAAATTTCAAAAGCAACGACTTTTTAACTTATATCGAATTTGGCATTAAAATGCATAGATTATTTTATATCATTGAAAAATAATGTTAAAAAGTTTGAAAACTTCGAAGGATGTGGAAATAAATTTTTCTTTCCCTTGTATTATATATATATANATATATATATACTACACTTGCAAACACGATAGCTTTTTTATTTTTACACCAATTCAGCTGAACATTTAAAAATGTCTATTACTAATACAGTTTTCGTTAAAAGTGGGTTTATAAGATAATACTTTTAGTTTTCAATTATTTCAATGATAAAATAGGAATTTTGAGAATTAATGTCCAAGCTTATTCTTTAGTTAATCAAAAACCATGAAGGAACAGGATTTTACACAAAAAACATACATTGGTACAATAATATAAAAATTATTTTCATTCAATTAATTATTTTTATTCAATATTTTATTATTTATTTTTATTCAATATCGTTTGGAATTAGTTGTGTTGATTGGTGCTTTTTCTTAGCTTCTATTTACAATTGGAATGTATTAGAATAAATAATGTACTGACCTGTAAAGCCAAGCAGTTGCAAAAGGCTAAAAATATTCTCAAGGGAAGTTTTGCCTTGTATGACCTATGAGTCCATAACCTATGGGCCCCTGCTGTTATCCCAAGACCATTGGCGAAACTTAAAAAGACACCTATTGACAAATGTAAATACTTATCAGGAAATATAACATGGTGATTGAAGCAGTTTGATCATTCACGTTTGAAACAAAAATCTTAATTATTTACTGAATAAAAAAATCTATCTAAAGATGAATTATCGAAGAGATAGTGAAATACTGTGTGTTCTGTAATATCCACCCTTAATGTACAGGGTTAGCCTTATTGATTCGTAAAGTTTCAAAGGACTGTTTATTTACAAGTGTATGATGTATACAAGTGAGTGGTACATGGTAGGAAGTAGACGCACATTAAGTTTCTGGTATATGCTTCAAATGGCTAATGCACGCACCCTGGGTCACTCAGAAAACATCCCAATGGTATATCTGTCTCGCCCATACGTTCAGTAGCCTGTTTCGGCGAATTTTAATCACAGCAGCGGTGATGGGTAGCTGATTGCTGTTAACCAGATTGTTAGTGCTGCCTTAACTGATAAATTTTCGTTTAAGTTTCCCATTTATTTTTAAAAAGTAAACCAACAAATGGATAAAAACGACTGAGACTCTTTTTTTTAAAAAAAACATCAACTCTCCTTGAATAAAAAAGAGCTGAGTTAGAGAACACCGCAAAGGACAAAAACCAAAGATTTTTTTCCCTGTTACTTGATAACAAGCTTAACATTTACAAACATCGCATTTTATTCCAATTTTTTGTATCATTGTATAAGACTCAACTTGAATATAAACAACATAAAGTCTTTGCTTTTAGAGACCTGATATTTGCAAATTTCGCTTCATTAAATTTGTTAGATTAAGCTGTAGTTTTACATTAATAATTTTTATCTGACTGCGTTGCGGGCATAGTGAGGTTTGGATTTATCTAGACAGTGCTGCAGATTCACTCCGTTAATTCTTCCGCGGATGCATAGCCCTCACAAGTTGGCATTAGGGGTACATAAACTTTTGTCTCTCACAAGTTGGCAGTAGTAGTGTACAAGCTTGATCCTTCACAAGTTGGCATTAAAGGCACATAATTCAGTCTCCACAGGTTATATTGGGTTATATACAAACTTTATTTTCTACAAGCTGGCATTTAGGATGCATAAACTTTGTCCTTCACAAGTTTATCTATCTTTAATGCCAATTCTGCTGCCTTGACTAACATTGATAAAAACTTGATTACAATTGAAATGACCATTGAACACTTATAGTATATGTACTAGAAACTTGATGAGTGTATGTATCTTTCCACCAATCATTGTTAATCGTATATTTGTAAATACATATCCTTTTGAAACTGGACAAATTATTAAGGCTAACCCTATTGCTGAATACGTTTTTAGACGTGAAAAACAGTGCATAAAGAGGACCACGAGTAATTATCATTTAAATGTAAGAAGAAAAAAACTCTATCAAACTCTGACGAATTATTGTTGAGATCAAATGAGACATTAGAATGGAAGGGTATGGAGCAACATAATGATAAGCCATATTTGCTAACTGCACGGGAGAGCAATTTTGGCGCAAGAAACCCATCATTTCCATGTAGACGATAAGATGTTTATGTGCTTTGTAGTGTTTGGTGAAAGCAAAGTACGTATCTGAAATAATACAAAGAAACAGTTTTGTGCAAAAAAATTTCCGTTAGAAAAGTCTGCCTTAGCATTTCGCATTTCTTAAGAAACCGTCCTTCAAAACTTCACCCACAAATAAATTGCCTTAGATTATTTAAAATTATTATTATAAATGAAAAGAAATGGGCATTTCGAGTCACTAATTATATGTTTGTTTAAGTTCTAAATAAGGTCTACAAATTAATCATTTATAACTACTTAATGTTATTCTGAAATTATTTTCAATGTGGAGAATGTACACAATGTGTACACAAAATAAGCTAATCTGTGCTTACACGGGATGTTTAAGTACAGCGGTTCCTAACTTGGAAAAAAGGTGAGGGAAATTATAAATATTGAGGATTGCATAGCAATCCACTGTAAATAATATTGTACGACGCACTTCCCTATTATAAATTTTATGTTATATAATTATATAAATTATCTTAATTCAATGTTTACCTTCGTAATAATTATTTTTGGAAATTACATGCAAATAGGCTTATAAATAGGCTTATAATAGCTCTTTTATCATCATTTAATGATTTGGGGACCAATTTGGCGAGTTTGTCTACCTCCTTTGCAGGTTTGCAACCGCTGTACTGTAACATCCTGTATAGATAATAAAGAGACGTAGACTGACAAAGACGAATGATTATAAACAGTTGTAGACAATATATTTAAATTTCATGAAATACATTGTATGGAATATCCTCTTGAAAAGGAATCGTTATTTATTGACAATATTGAATATGTAATATTTTATTTTATTTGAAAACTCCCAGCCGCTAATTTACAATCCAGCAGCCTTTGACGACTATCTCTCTCTGTTTTTTTTTTTTTTTTTTTTTTTTTTTTTTTTTTTGATGACTTTCTTCTTGATTGTAATTTGTCGCAATTATATTGCAAGCTTTTATTTATTTTAAAATTTATTATTTAAGCTAGGAAAAGTCAAGAATCAAATTTTTTTCTTTATCTGAGAAAATGCCAAACAGAAGAGCGAGTCGTTAAAGGCTGCTGGATTGGAAAATCACTTCTCGGCCCTTATAAAGGCTTGACATCCAGGAGGCAATAACATATAGTTTGTCTAAAGTAGGAACTCCCCAAGCCATTTGTCTGAATCTTTGGCGGTGACTACGGTAACGAGGTATAACTATATAAAGTAGGGTTGTGGGATCATTGTTTAGGGCAAGTTTTGACCAGGGTGGGCGAGAGAAAGGGAATCTTTTTCTTTGGTCTACTTTGTTAGCCTTAGCTAGAGTGAAGAGAAGCTACCCTCCCTGAAATGCGATATTCTTGTTTCCATAGCAGTAGACGCCCTCAGACTTTGTGGCGAGGGTAGTTCTTACCGTAGACAAACTATACATCTTTGGAGGGAGAATATGGTATGTTTGAATTGAATAACTTAATTAAAAATGCCAACAAAATGTTTGTTCTCTAATCAGGACTGTCCACGTTTTGTCCAAGATAATTTGGTGCCATCCTTGTTTTTAAAATACATTATAATAATGTGTCAAGTTTTTTGAAATCAAATTATAAATGAGGAAAGTTTGATGTTAAAAAAATAAATAAATTTATTTGTATAATTACCGTAAAACCATGATGTTAAAGTTGCGTGAGCGATTACAAGATAAAGGCCATAGATTGCTGCTGCATGTAGCCCTATGAATAAAAAGACATTCCTCCAAACAATTTGAACTGGCTCTAAAGGTTTTGTTTCTGGTTCATGTTCATGATGCTCTTCTTGCACCGATGTAGAGACTACATTCGGTGCCATTGGTAAATAGAGACTACCTAAAATAAAATTAATATCACTGTCACTACGCTTCTGAAATTTAACATTTTATACATTTAACATACATATGCTGTCCGAAAAATATGGTCAGCTACTTAGAGCCTAAAAATTCATTCGACCCTTTAGCAGGCGCTCCGGCATTAGGAGGTGGAACTGGGTTTGAATTAGATGTCATAAGATAAATTTTCTCAAAATATCAAAATTGACAATATATCGCTTCAAAATATCAAACTCACGATACATCGATTTTAAATTATTTGAACCTCATTTTCATTTTGCGATTACAATGCCATCTGTAAGACAAAATGCATAACAATCTAAGCTATTTCGGGGTATTTTTTTTCTGAAAAATCGAAATCTGTAATACAGAAAAGGGTTTTCATTTACGATTTTTTTTTTTTAAGTTACCCCATTCACACCCAAGGGGTGAGATGCAGATTAATTTTGGTATCCTTTTTTTGATATTGTATTTATTAAATCTACATGTTTTTTTATCTTATTTTATGGAAGTCCAATTCTATTTAAAATATTTGGATATTTATTCTTTTATAAATTTTTAAAAATGTGATAGGAATAGGCTTTTGTTTGCGTTTTACAAGTTTAATTAATATTTTATTTATAAAAACTACGTTTTTTTATTTAAAAAAAAAGTCCAATTCCATTTCAAATGTTTAGACCTTTATTCTTTTAAATATTTTAAAAATGTGATATGAATAGACATTTGTTTGCGTTTCTCAAATTCAAATTCGAATTGAAATTTTGCCTGTTGATATTATGCTTTTGTTAAAGAGCATTTGCTTAATAAACAGTATAGTTCTGTATGAATTCTTCAATCAAGATTTTCCTAAATTTCTTACTTATTTTACTTTTAAGAAATATATCACTTGTAAATCATGAAAAAATCTATTTCACTTGAATTGTTTAAGCGTATTCACGCTAATTAACGCTATCTTTTAGAGAATTTAGATGGAAACATTTTATCTGAAACATCTTGATAGACAATCATTAAACAAATACCGATAAATATTACATTTTTAAAAAATGAATGCATAAACATTTGAAATAAATGTAGATTTTCAATAAATATAATATTAAAATGTATTTACTTTTGAAAAAAAAATTCTATTGCAAATTTTTTTCTCTGATAAGAACGTTTTATTTACATTACAGTTTTGCAACAAAATCGCTTGTAATTTTGCATTACTTTATGTGGTTGATGTAATATAATAACTGAAATTTAATTTCTGTGCCATACACCACAGCCTTTCTTACAAAAACAGATAACAATTGCTTCCAAAACTGTAAAAAACTATCAAAAGCGTGTCGATATATACGTATTTATTCGAACTGGTTATTAAAAATGCGTTCTAAATAATTTTTCTTAGCATGGTGTTTAAACTAACAATTGTTTCATGCATCGGAAGTAGCTCAAAAATAAAATATTGTTCCATCTAATGCACTTTGTTTTTTTATTTTATATTCTCATGTTTTACATCTGTTGCACATTTAGAGGAGGCTACATACTATTGAGTCTTTTAAAATAGAATTCAGTTACTGCGTTAAATTAGTTTTTCTTTTTATGCCTTTTAGGATGAGTAATGTGGAAGTATAAGAACAAATTTACGAACCTAAACAATGAAAAACATTTCATTCCACGCTTCATTGATAAAATTGAAGAAACATTTTACGAACAATAGGAAAATACTTCCGTTTAGGATGTTAGACGTGTTTTTGATGTTAAAAATTAGAGCAAAGAACAAAACTGCGCTATAAATTGTCATTGTTCATCAAATGATCTAAGGTATAAAAAAATTTCTGTTGCAGTTTTTTTTTTTTTTTTTTTTTTTTTTTTTTTTTTTTTTTTNTTTTTTTTTTTTTTTTTTTTTTGAAGAAAAGTTTTGATTTGGAAATGTATAATTTGAATGCAATAAATGTAAAATAATTTCATTGTTTAATACGAAAATATTAATGACAGAACTAGAGTAATTAGTTTATTTCTTTTTTAATGACTCTTAACTTGATCGAACTTTTAAAGTTACGTTTCTGAATATCCGTAAAAGAATTTAACCCTGTTACAGATGAATTTCCGTGAGACACACCTAGAGCTCCCCCTGGTGAGCCAAAATAGGCAGTTTGACTCGAGCTGTGAGACAGTAAACATATCATGGGGGGGGGGAGAAACCCTGCTCTAAACTTTTCTTAATGTTTTGTGTTAAATGTAATCGTATTAGATGAAGACAGTTAAACGCTCTTTCTCTAAATTAACTGTTCAAATACCATATTTTCTATGATTATATGACTGTTTTTTGATGAAAATGGTAATATAATAATTAAACTATTGTTATTTAAATATTTTTTTCGGAAATTTCCAACGGAGTATTTTTATTGACAATTATATACCATCTTTTCAAGTTTTATTAATTTATTCTCGCCAAATGATGCTAAATTCAATGTTAAGCTTTTAAAACATTTATCCAACGTGTAAAATTGAAAATTAGAAAACAATTTTAAAAACAAATTTATAGAATTGTTTGCTTTTAGATGAGTACGAAATTTTCTTACAAGATATACATGAATATTTTCTATAGCGCCTGAATAAAAATGTAGAAGTTACGGGGTATTACGGTTCCATAACATATTCAGGAAAAATAGATTTTACGGTAAAAAGTCTCGGCACCCTGAGTGTTGGCGCTTTTTACCAAAATTTGATCCGGAATCTTTTTTTACAGTACTGAGTCTGTTTTGAAATATATCATTTTACGAAAAAGCAAGTGTTTAATAAGCGATTCCAAAAGCACATAATATACATAATCGCAAACACAAAAAAATTATTTACTTTAATAAACTAAGACAAAACAAAAATTTTAACTTTATATCAGATTTAATTAATTTAAAAGTACGCAGTATGTTGCTTGTTACATCGAATTAATTTCAAATTATTCTGATTGGAATTTTAATCTAGGAAATTTTTCTGAATTAACAATACAAGGAAACGACAGCCTAAATAGTAGGAAAGAAATTAATGTTTGTAGGAAATTTAAAATATTAGTTAAATAGCATTAAATACTAAATAGCATTTTATCTGGCATTTCTGTGAAAAGAATCATTTTTATAATATTTTAACTTCTTTAAACGCAAATACTAATTAATTAAAGAAAAACTTAAAAATTCGTAATATTTGAATTTAAGTAGTACAAATTTATTATTTTTAATTTAAATTATTGAACATGTTATCAAAGCATAACATTCTAATCATGCTCATTCAACATTTAAAATTATTCACTTGCCGCTTGAATAATTTATTTCGTGAAAAATTCTTTCGTTTATTTACGTTTTTTTTTTCTGTTTAAGAGTTCGAAAGCAGTAAAAACCAGTATGCATAGTTGATACTATATACAGAATGATTAATAGAATGATTACTATCAACTAGTGTCATACGATACGCATGCTTTTTCTATTATGGGTTAATCGTGCCTATGCAAAATTCGAGAGAAACACACCTAGAAGACGTTTTGAAAATATAGGCCTATTAGTCATATATCTACCTTGTAGTTTCAGGAAAGTTCTTTCGTCATTTTTTTTGTATCCCCTCGGGCGAAATTAACCCGGACGTGTCCTAATTTTTCTACGTCACAGTTTCGTCATTTAAACATTACTACAAGTTCAAGGTCTTTTCATTTCATTTTGTGGAATTTAGGAGTAATTGACCTTTGAATGAAACTATGAAATGCTTTGAGGTTTATAATTTTGATGGTTCTTTTTTGTTCAAAAGATTTTATAATTAAAAATGCGTTTGACATGTAATGATAATAAACAACTAGACTAATATCATCAATTTGACTATTTCAAATATGATTTATTTCGTAGTAAAATATTCAAATATACTCGTAGACTATATTTATATTATATATTGTATTAATGCACACATTTATTTAAATCCAAGAATTTGTAGAATGCATTAATAAAATCAAAGGAAATACTTTGTTTATTTTCTTTTAAAATATTTCTGTAAAATTTTATGAATATATGAATTAGTTTAACGAATACATTGAAGTCTAAGAAATACTCCTCTTCAGACAAAGAATTTTTAATAAATTAATTTTGTAAAAACAAGTTTATCAACTATGAATGGTAGAACTATTTTAAATGAATAAACAATTATGCATTTTGTTTAAATCCGCATTTAATTTTTCATCATAGATTTTTAGCTAGCATACAATTTTAAATCATTTAAATTTCTTACATTAATCGAAAGTTTTTAATGGTTAGCTTTAAAAGATGAGAAGAGGTTAGTTTCTTTAAGATGCTTAATTTTTCTAAAATAACTTTCTTTTTTCTAATTTAATTTCCAACGATTAATGATTTATTTAAAAATAAATCATTAATCGCGTCGTATTTAGTGCACTCTGACTGCAACAAGAGGTTATAGATCTCTTTCAGTGATTGTACAAAAGAACTCACTAAATATAAAAAAAGAGCTCACTAAATAAGAGCCTCTAATGCATTTTAATTTACTTATTTGTTTTGCTAGTATTTTTTCTTTTGATTTTTTTTTTTTTTTTTTTTTTTTTTTTTTTTTTTTTTTTTGTGTTTCCTTATTTGACCGTTTCCTCATTTAGTACAAAGGTTTGCCCGGTCACTGGGAGAGGTTTTGAGGTTTTCTACAACATGAAGTCTATGGAAAAAGTTTCGTTCCTCCCAAAAGTAGTAAATAGAGAAGGTAATTACATAGAGGTGGTCTTTCCTGAAATCTTCACTGTAATTTAAACTAAAGGGCACCGATACACGAAATTGGTGAAAATAATGTGAGTGTTGCATCAAAATACGCTACGTAAAAATACAAAATATATTGTGGAAGTTTGAATTAGTTCCATGTATCCATGCTATGCTATTTGAGTTGAAGTTCGGCTATATATTTTAGATTAGTGAAAACAGCGCAAGTTTTGTATCGAATTTCTCAACATATAAAGTATTAAATGTACATTACAAAGAGTTCTAATTTTAACTCGATCTAACATTAGCTAATCTTAAATTTAAATTATAGAATATTGTTACATAATATTACAAAATATATCACTAAATAAACAAAAGAGTTCAATAAATAAAAAAAGAGCTCACTAAATAAAAAAAGAGCTCACTAAATAAGAGCCTCTAATACATTTGTTTTGTTTGCAGATGAGTATTCCTTAGACTTCAATGTATTCGTTAAACTAATTCATATATTCATTAAGAAATATTTAAAAGAAAATGAACATATTTATAAGTATTTTCTTTGATTTTACTAACTCATCCGACAAATTCTTGGATTTAAATAAATGTGTTCATTAATACAATATATACAATATATAGAATAAGTACTCCTATATATTGTCTATATATAGGAGTATATATATAGGAGGATATATTGTCTATATATAGGAGTATATATATAGGAGTATATATATAGGAGGATATATTGTGTATATATAGGAGTATATATATAGGAGGATATATTGTCCATATATAGGAGTATATATATAGGAGAAGAATAATTAATTTTAAATTAAATTGGGCTTCATTAAGCATCTAATTTATTGGGGGGGGGAGAGTTTGACTTAGTTCCATATACCCATCTTATACAGTTAGACTTGAAGTTCATTTGCATATTTTAATGTTGGTTGAAACTGCGCAAGATTTGTATTAAATTGCTCAACGTACAAAGTATCGAATGTAAAGTCCAAAGAATACGAATCATATTTCCATCCTGTACTTATCCTGTACAATTTTAATAAAAGTGAAGCTATATATTATGGTTTTTGAAAATAACGCGTTTTGTTGGTTGGTGTCGTGTCACGGACAGAAAATAATTTTAAATACGCGTTTTGTTTGGTGATTACATTGATGAAAATAATACGAGTCTTGTATAAAATCTGTAACACGAAATGTATGAACTATAGTTCCATTTATCTTTCCTACTATTTAATGTAAAGTATAATATAAGTTCATCAGAGGAAAAATTATTTTTTCCGAGAGAAATGTGGATATGAGGTTAAAGTGGTCATCTTGAAAAACTTTTTTATTTATTGGTCAAATTTCCTCTGTGAGATATCGTAAATTGGCAACATTGATATACACTTTCGTGTGCCATTGCATAAACACATTGTGTATACTTTAGTAGAAATTTCTTACAAATGGTTTTTAAGGTACAAAAGTAACTTTCAGATTTTCTTTTAACTCTTTTGTTAACATATTTTATTTTCAGAATTTCAACAAAAATTGATTATATGTTAAAGATTATATTATTTTTACATATTTTGATATTATTGTTTACTCTGCATTGATTCAATTAACCAACATTGGGAATAAACAAACACATGTTTATTGGTTACTTATGTCCGTTGGTCACAAATGTAACACGTATGATAATATTTATAATGATTTTGTAGAATAATACACCTTCACAAATAGTGGTTTCAATCTTTAGTAAAATATTTGGTACGCAACCTTTACACTAATCCACTTAGTAAAAATTTTACGAAACATAAAAAATATGTTTTTATCAAGTTTGTTATAAAATATAATTTAATACAGATGAATTAGAGAAGAAACTAAAGTTTTTAATTTATTTTTTTATTTTTTGTCATGCGTTAAACTAAAACAGAAAAATCAAAACCCAAATATTTTATAATTAATTTTACGTTTGTAATTCCCATTGTAAAGAACATTTTTTTTTTCTTTAAGGGAAACGTTTTGTGATGTGCGTTCAACATTTTGTGCTTACGGCCTCATGCTTGGTGAATTTCAAAATGTGGCGATAAACAGTGTTCATTTTCTTAGTATACATCTTATTCGAAAACAGCTCTTTTAAACATTCCAACCTATATTAGATTTATGAAAATAGGCAACAGGCTCAAAACTTTTATGATTTTAGAAAAAGTCGTACGAGAAATGAAGAAAACTTCGCATTTGAATAGAACGGAATGTTAATAATAGGGATTAAAAGAATAATTTTCCCATTCTTTCAGTTTATTCAAATTAAATTGAAAGAATGAGAAAATCCCTCTTACAAGAGAATACTAAGCATTTTCAAATTTCATAAGAAGGTCAATTCTAGTTGAAACGCCTCAAAGATGAAATTAGAATAGTTTTTATTTTATTCTTCTCTTGCTATATTTAGAATTATTAATGTTCTTCTTAAAAATGAAAAGCTTTTGAGTGTAGTTTTAATTGTCATTTCAACCATTTTTTTTACAAATAACGTAAGTTGCTGGAATAAAGTCTACATTATTTCTTCTTAAGTACGCTGCTTTAAAAGTGCTTGCAGAAAAAAATTTCGGTAAAATACCGCACTGTATGATAATGACATTTCTGGTAAAAAAAATAAATAAAAATAAATAAAACGTAATTCTGGTTTATAAAACCAAACTATTCGGTATTTTAACCATTCTTTTGGTAATTTTTCCGTTCATATCGTAACGGTTATTCGGAAATTCTATTTTACAAGTTCTTCTAACTTAGTAAAAATCTGAAAAGTAAATTTACCCAGATGAATACTTTCTACTGTATCATGATAAAATTGCCAAATTTTATCACATATTATCGAACCATATTTCGACCAAAACATCCTGGTCCAGGATCAAAACCATATTTTGACCCTGCTAATTATACCAAAATCATTACCAAAGCACTTCGGTAAAAAGTACAGCTCTTTTTGGTGTTCTCATAGAACCAGAAACTCGGTAAATTTTACCATATTCTAATAGTTTAAACCATGCATTTTTCTCTCAGTTGACAAGTCAAATAAACTTGGATGGCTAGCACACGTGTAATACAGTTGGTGAACTTAGTTGGTGTGATAAAATTCTGGTTGTTTAACCGTATTATGCGAAAGCTGTTATTAAACGGTTTTTCTAACAGTTAACAGTTTGATTACCATTTTATATATGATTATTTGATTGTTTTGCATGAATATGGTAAAATAACAATTAAATAAATTGTTAGTTAACCATTTTTTCCGAGAAATTTCTAACAGTGTACGAATAATTTGGTAAAAAAATAACATATTTAAGATCTACATTAATTGATTACAGATCGTTTATTTATCATATAAAAATAAATATTCTGCTGTTATTGATTTTACACAAAACCTGACTCACTGAAAATTCAAAATGTCTATTAACAACAAAACCTAAGTTCGTATTTCTCTTTTAATTATGTTATTTTTTACATTTCCATTATCCAGACATACATGAAGAATTTCTGCTATTTTCAGTAAAAAAATAATTCCGTAATCAGCACATATATTAAATTTTTTTCACTTTTCTACACTTTTGAGAATGTTGGAAAAGTTGAAAAGGCATAATTTGTTTTCGATCCTAAATCGCCTCTCTTCCCAAAAAGGTTGGCCAGCCTTGAAAAAGTTATGACTATTTCTAATCCATGTTAATAGGTTATGATTGGTTATGAACATTGACTAGGCTTTCATACTGACAACTATTTGTAGCCGTTGTCTCTACATCGCCGATTACTGACCTCATTGCTTTTTGCAGTATACAAGATTTTTTTAAGTAATCAAGAGTAAGAAAGGAAAATAATTATGAAAAATATTTTAACCGTACCACTATCTGGATAATTTAAATAAAAATATCATGTATTAAATATTTATTAAGATGTAATATTTAAACTAATGAAACATTTTACTTGAATTAATACTATTATATACATTATATGCGAATATTACTGTACTACTAGGAACAGAGCTGTTATTGTTTAGTATCAGGGTTCTAAGTCTAGTGGTGACATGAAACCTATCCAATCTTAGATCGATGGACATCAACTTATATCATAAGTAAAGGAAACTTGTTTCAAATATAACTGACCATTATTAATAATGTTAAATCTGGTGATACAAAAATCTGGATTCTAATAGCACATCAACAGTCTGGATGGCGAACAAACAATTGAAATGTTTCTGATTGTTTACAACCATGCTTCAGGTCCATGTTTATCCTTTATGAGTAGCATTGTATCAATTACTGTTCCATTGCGGTCAACGGAAACCTGCTCCGTATATAAGTGAGTTTTATTTATAATGTTCAATCTAGTGAAACCATAATCTGAAAACCTTGCAGCACTCCATTCGCCAGGATTGTGCACGAAAGTATTGAACATTTCTTTACAACCAGCAGATCCAGTTATAATATGAACAGGTGCTTTAGGATTAGTATAGGGAGCATCATAACTACCATTATATACTTTTAAATTATACACTGGCCACGATCTTTCATAATTATGTTGATGGCCCCATATTTCGAGATCTACTCCATATTTATAAAACAGATCTTCTAAAACTTTGCGAATTTTGCTATCTTTCTTTGTACAATGTGTTCGACTTTGTATAATGAAGCCTACTGAACTGCAGTACATGGGCCTGTGTCCCATAGTAATGATCCATGGATGCTTAATTTTGTTCTCTGGTAAGTTTGCCTTTTTTAGTTCATTTTCTAGCCAGTTATACTGGTTAGCAATTTGGGCTGAGCCATACTTCGTGTAGTAGTAAAATTCGGTCGAGAAAGCAATGATATGAGCAGGCCCGATATCAAAACTATAAAAATGATTGTTTATTTCGCCATCCTGATTCATCATGTTGAAACGATTCACGTAATTAGAAAAGTTATATGCTTTTTCATGATTGCCGACGCATACTTGATACGGAATGCGTGCAGCAATTGGTTCGATTTGCCGCATAAACTCATCTCCCACACGAGCGTTATTCGAGTCTAGATTGTAAGCTATATCCCCAACATGCAAAACTGCATCGTACAACCCTCTTTGCACTTCTTCTTGCACTTGAGGCAATGATCGAGCATTTTTACTGCCCAAATCTCCATAAACCACAAGTGTTGGACTCCAGTCTGTCCCGTTCTTTAAAGCTGTGAACTCATACATAGTGCTCCAACCATCTGTACTGCCACAGTAGTAAACATATTCAGAACCTGGCACTAAATCATCCAGTACCACTTTATGAATCCAAAGTACTCTTTTTTTGTAGCCACCGTCTACAAATTTGGAGACAGTACCAAATTTAACCTTATTCGTTACATTTGGAAGTGGTCCATACTCAACAGTAGAAATATTTGTAGGGTCAAAAGTCACCCATGTCACGATAATTTCATTTGGAGATTTCCCATAAGATAAATGTATTTGTTCAGGTTTAGCGTCCAAAGCTGCCACAAATAAAGTTGTAGTTAAAAATAAGCTCAAAACAAGAAGTGAAAAACATAAATTCATTTTGTAAGTCATATTTACGCATTGAAGTCAAATTTACTATTGAAGCAACGGTAAGCCGCTGCTCTTTTTTTTTTGTTGTGCTCTGCAAAGATAAAGAAAATCTAGATAGTTAAAATCCAGAGGTTAACTGGGGAATGAAGTATTGAGATAATAATAATAGAAATAAAAAAAAAAATAATAATAATATTTTTAAGCTGAGAAAAGTGGAATCTTCAAAAATTATCTATTTGATTAAGGAGATAAAATTCATTGTAGTTAGTTGATAAGACATACATTAGAACTCCTTCAACTATCAATTTACGCAGCTATCACCAATCAGCTAATATTTAGATTATAAAAAGGATCATTACAAAACCTGGAAAATCAAAGGGTAGTAGTGAACTGATAAAGTGGTGTTATTAGAGAAGTTTTCGATAAGAAAGAATAATTTTTTCCCTCACAAACACACATTTTTATTTTGTTTTCTCAAGCTGTTTATTTTCATTTTAAAACTGTTCATGATTTCATTTCATGAGCAGATTGAAACATAATAAAATTAAGATATTGTAAATGAAAGTAAACTGTAAAAATTGCTGCACAAAGTCTTTTCACTTTGGATCCATAAAATCTGCTTTATTTTTCCTTAAAATATCAGATCTTGATTTCTACAGTAATATTTATTTAATTACAGTGATTCAGTGATTTTACGGTAATTATAATTGTACAAATTACGGTAAATCAGATATTTTTGTTCTATAACATGTTGCAGGCAAAAATGGATTTCACTGTAAAAAGTACTGGCATCCTAAATGCTGGTACTTTTTACCGTGATTTGATAATGAATTTTCTAATTTTTTTATATTGTATAGTATAAATTTTTAAGCCTAGAAATGCGTCTTTAAATTCATATTGTTTCAAAAGTCTTTATAACATTTATAACACATTTTATTAAGCATCCGATTCCCTTTTGTATTATTCCTTGAAAATCTTTTTAGTCTGTTAGTTTATTTTTATATTATACGCTATTAATAGTTATGACTTTTTTTTTATTTATGAATAATTTGTTTTCTTTGGAACAGTATGATAAATAAGTCAAAAAATTTTAAATACAAAAATTTAGACTTTCAACAATTGTACAAAGCAATGACGTTTTAAAAGAATATTCTAAATTCTGTATTTATTAGTTATAATATTTTAAGATAATGGATATCGTGTTTATTGAATTTCACTTTAAGAGTCAACAAAATATTTAAAAATAAAACAGTTAACGCAAATAAATATTATAAAACTGAAAAATAGTTAAAATAAATAGTATTTTCGTAAAGAAATTTAGATGACCAATTAAAAAAAGAAGAAAACTTGAGTAATTTTTTAAAAAAAATTAAAATAATTTTTTCCAAGACATAATAATTTGAAAATATTCTTCTTTTCTAAATTTCATAATATTTATTCAGCTAAAAATTGTTTTCTGAAGAATTAGTTTAAAAAGCAAAACAGGAGCTTGCTACACTGAGAAAAAAAAATATGGTCAAAACTACCCGAATATGGTAAAATTTATTGTGTTTCTGGCGCTATGGAACACCAAAAAGCTCGGTCATTTTTACCGAAGTGCTTTGGTAATAATTTGGTAAAATTAAAAATTTGGTTTTATTACATATGTGATAACATTTGTTAATGGTGGTTTTATCATGATACCTTAAAGCATGTCATAAAAATAATTTATTCAGTTGAATTTGCTTTCAGTTTTGTATTTATTACTAAATGCGTGGTAATAAGAAATACAATTTTAAAAACAAGAATTACCAAATAAATGGTTTAAATGCAGCATACTTTGGTTTTATTAACTAGAAGTATGTTTCTTTTTCTCTTTTTTTCTTTTTTTTGCTACCAGAAATATCATTACGATTCTGTGCGATAATTTTACCATAATTGTTTTCTCCATGCAGAGACTTTTAGGAACGCACATGGTTTTGAGTTACATTTCGCTGTTTCTGTTTAATACTTTTATTTATTTATTTTCTGTTTTGTTCTTAAATTATCACTTGGGTATTTTTTCTGCACAGATTTGAACTATTTAATTCAATTAAAACTAAATTCGTCACATCATGTTTTTCTTAAAATTCTTTCATGTTCAAGAAATTTAAAAAAATCACAATATAATATGTAAAATAAGTGTCTAAATTGTATTCAGTTAAAATTTGTTTTTTGAAGAATTAGTTTAAAAAGTAGAGCAAGGGCTTACTATAGAGTCTTTTAGGATTTGACTTGGTTTTAAGTTGTACTTCGAAGTTTTTGCTTAATATTTTTATTAATTTATTTATTGCTTTGTTCTTAATTATCACTTAAGTGTTTTCTTGTAACACTTTTAACTATTCAAATGTATTAAAAATACATTTGTTTGCGAAATATTTTTATTAAAAATGTTTTATGTTCACGAAATAAAAAGAAATCATAATATAATATGCTAAATAAGTTTCTAAACTGCATTTAACAATTTTAGCAAAACAAGGACATACTATTATAGTGTCTTGGTTCTGAATGTCTCTGAATTACATTTTGGTTCTGAAGGAATGGTTCTTAATTACATTTTGGTTCTGAAGGAATGTTTCTGAATTACATTTTGGTTCTGAAGGAATAGTTCTGAATTACATTTTGGTTCTGAAGGAATGGTTCTGAATTATATTTTGGTATTTTTATCCAATATATTTATTTATTTTTTTGTGTCGTTCTTAAACAATCACCGAAGTATATTCATGTAACTATTGAAGTGCATTAGATTTAAATTTTACATTACACTTATATTAATAACATTTTATGAAGAAACTATTTAAGAATTAAAGAAAAAACTACGCAGTATTCGCTTCTAATATGCACTTAAAAAGTATTTTATTTTAAAATAAATTTCTTAGCAACTCTTTAAAAACTAAAAATATCGTTTATTATTATCTTTATTGGTATCATATTGCAATTTTTAATTCGGTTGCGTTATTTTTAAATTGTCATTTAAATGATTTCCGTTAAAGATTTGAATTATTCAAGTGTCACTAATAGTTCAAGGCTACGGAATTAAATTGGGTTAAGGAAAGTTTGCTCGATAAAATATCTAACTTTTAACTCTGGTGAAATGCTTAATTGGTGCATGAAGAAGTTTAAAATACTTTGATCGGCTTTTTGATTCTGAAATTACTTATGTTTAAAGTAAATCCCATTATAACTTAAGAGTTAAAAAAATACATTTTGATAAATAAAATCTATAGAACATGAATTGTATTTTTTCAAAAATGAAGTTTTAATTTTTATTAAAGTACCATGATTCAAGTTTTTAGTTATTATTAATAATAATATAATGAGAAAGTAAATAACTATAAAGTTATTATTCTGAAAAATTTTAAAAATCCACTTTGCGAATTTATTAGTATTCAAATTAAATTTTATCATTCTATTAATTATTCTATTAATTATTCAATTCTATTATCATATTATATTATATTATAATATATTATATTACATTACATTACATTACATTACATTACATTACATTACATTACATTACATTACATTACATTATATTATATTATATTATATTATATTATATTATATTATATTATATTATAATA